AATAGGAGTCATGGGTAATAGGAGTCATGGGTAACATGAGTCATGGGTAATAGGAGTCATGGGTAACATGAGTCATGGGTAATAGGAGTCATGGGTAACAGGAGTCATGGGTAATAGGAGTCATGGGTAATAGGAGTCATGGGTAACATGAGTCATGGGTAACAGGAGTCATGGGAAATAGGAGTCATGGTTAACATGAGTCATGGGTAACAGGAGTCATAGGTAACAGGAGTCATGGGTAACAGGAGTCATGGGTAATAGGAGTCATGGGTAACATGAGTCATGGATAATAGGAGTCATGGGTAACATTAGTCATGGGTAATAGGAGTCATGGGTAACAGGAGTCATGGGTAATAGGAGTCATGGGTAACATGAGTCATGGGTAATAGGAGTCATGGGTAACATGAGTAATGGGTAACAGGAGTCATAGGTAACAGGAGTCATGGGTAACAGGAGTCATGGGAAATAGGAGTCATGGGTAACAGGAGTCATGGGTAACAGGAATCATGGGTAATAGGAGTCATGGGTAATAGGAGTCATGGGAAATAGGAGTCATGGGTAACATGAGTCATGGGTAATAGGAGTCATGGGTAACATGAGTCATGGGTAACAGGAGTCATAGGTAACAGGAGTCATGGGTAACAGGAGTCATGGGAAATAGGAGTCATGGGTAACATGAGTCATGGGTAATAGGAGTCATGGGAAATAGGAGTCATGGGTAACAGGAGTCATGGGTAATGAGAGACATGGGTAACAGGAGTCATGGGCAACAGGAATCATGGGTAATAGGAGACATGGGTAATAGGAGTCATGGGTAATAAGAGACATCGGTAACAGGAATCATGGGTAATAAGAGACATGGGTAATAGGAGTCATGGGTAACATGAGTCATGGGTAATAAGAGACATGGGTAATAGGAGTCATGGGTAATAGAAATCATGGGTAACAAGAGTCATGGGTAATAAGAGACATGGGTAATAGGAGTCATGGGTAACTGGAGTCATGGGTAACAGGAGTCATGGGTAACAGGAATCATGGGTAACTGGAGTCATGGGTAACAGGAGTCATGGGTAATAGGAGTCATGAGTAACATGAGTCATGGGTAACAGGAGTCATAGGTAACAGGAGTCATGGGTAACAGGAGTCATGGGAAATAGGAGTCATGGGTAACAGGAGTCATGGGTAATAAGAGACATGGGTAACAGGAGTCATGGGTAACAGGAATCATGGGTAATAGGAGACATGGGTAATAGGAGTCATGGGTAATAAGAGACATTGGTAACAGGAATCATGGGTAATAAGAGACATGGGTAATAGGAGTCATGGGTAACATGAGTCATGGGTAATAGGAGTCATGGGTAACAGGAGTCATGGGTAATAGGAGTCATGGGTAACATGAGTCATGGGTAATAGGAGTCATGGGTAACATGAGTCATGGGTAATAGGAGACATGGGTAACAGGAGACATGGGTAATAGGAGTCATGGGTAACAGAAATCATGGGTAACAGGAGTCATGGGTAATAGGAGACATGGGTAACAGGAGTCATGGATAATAGGAGTCAGGGGTAACAGGAGTCATGGGTAATAGGAGTCATGGGTAACAGGAGTTATGGGTAATAGGAGTCATGGGTAACATGAGTCATGGGTAATAGGAGACATGGGTAACAGGAGACATGGGTAATAGGAGTCATGGGTAACAGAAATCATGGGTAACAGGAGTCATGGGTAATAGGAGACATGGGTAACAGGAGTCATGGGTAATAATAATGCATCACGATGTTGACCAGTTCCACGTTAATGAGTGTCTAGCTTGCGGGAGGACCAGAGAAAAACGCAAGAATACAAGAGAGTAGCCCAAAGCGCCATGCGGATAGAATCAACAATCCATATCTGTACCGCAAAACTTCTAACAACCTCGCAGCTACTCCTGCAGTCACTTCACGAGGCCTCGATTAGCCACAATCGTGCCATGCTATTTCATGGCCTCGAAAAAGAAAGAGTAGCTCACCTCATATATCACTCATCTGATGTATTTATCAACATCAGTCCTTAGAATTGGGTTAGGCTGAATTAGATGTGTAAAACATTTGTCTGTAGCCATTGATTAATGGGTCGAGAGCCTTTGACTCCCTGCATTTGGAAATCAGGTGGGTTGTCGGCATACAAACCCAAGTTCTTTGTCGTGCTGACTTAGTGTCCCGAGAGCATGCGGTGTCCCTCCGAGGCACCCGGCCACTTCCTAAAATGTCACGATATTCAAACGGTGTATTATTCAGCTCACGTGATGTGACGGTGATTCTCACCGACAGGCAAGAGCGTTAGCTTAAGCAAAACTCTTTATCTGAGCCAGCTAACAGCAGATCATTCAAACTGTTGCAATGGCAGGCACCATTCAAAAACGCAACTCGGCAGCACCGTTTCAGGTCGAGATGTGTGCAACGGGGTTGGTGAGATGTTAACTACCTCGTCTGGTATACAGGCGGCCACGAGTTCGATCCCGACCCTGATGCCTGTATATCTGGAGTTTGGGTATCTCTCTTCCCATGGCCACGTGGATTATTCTCCGGGTCCTCTGGTTTTTCCTCCACATTTAGAAACATGTGGTTAGAGCATTTGACTGCGATAAATTCCCACCCGACAAGCCACTTCGTTGAGCTTTCATTTGTGATAGCCAGGTCGCTTCAGAAAAAGAGATACACGGCTCGGTGAGTCTTACCCGGTAAACAAAAATAGTTTAATAGTTTTTAGTTTGAGAGGGGGCCATGTGGTCAGTGTTTATGGGAAATAGCGGACAAGTCAAATTGCCCATTGCCTATCTCCTGCTCGTGAGCAAACGCCGGGGTAAACAGTCAAGCAGGCTTGCGAGAAACTTGCATTCCAGCAGGCCGCCTAGTCAGTGCAGGCCCCCCACCACCGACTGGAACGGTCTCCTCGTCGCTAGCAGCGTTTTAACGCAATCGTCAAACGCCCGTCGGCTTCTGCCAACGCTTGCCCTTAGGGCTGCGAGCACAGCTTACAAAAAGCAGAGAAGTGTACAAGTGCCTCCTAGCCGGGCCTCGAGCACTTGGCAGCAACTCAGTAACCGTAAATTGTGCTCTTGAGAAAGGGGTGAAAAAATGCAACCAATGGGCTGTATTCAACCCTGAAAGCAGACCTTGCGATGGGGAACGTTTCATTTATAAAGAGGGATGATTTGTGACTTCCAAATCCCATGCCTTGGTTGGCATGGGACTCATGGTCAACTATAGAAATAATTTTAATAAATCACAACATTTGGGAGTGCGATGAATACATGTGTAAGAACAGTGCGGAGCGATAGCGGGACAGCGTGGCTCCCCGGGACCATGGTTACTAATGGACGAGATATTAATGAGACGGGCGCCAATGGCGGAGAAGGACGGGTTAATGAGCATTCATGAGCCGGGATCAAATGGCGGGGAAGTGTGAGAAGGACGTGAGCGGCAGGGCCAGGTGCGGTGAGGAGGAATGAGGCTCAGGGTGTGGCCGGAGCGGGCGAGCGTAAATAGCAGAGTGAGCGGAGGCTTGGGGCTGCTTGGTGTGGGGAACTGTCGTCGTCGTCGTCGTCGCCGTAGTCGTCACCTGGCATCGGGTTGTTTACATCGTCTGCAAGATGTCTGGAGCTTGGAAGCTAGGATTGTCTCCGAGTAGGGTCGTGTCTCATCACCCGAGTGTACGGAGCTACGCGTGTTACGTGCCGAGTTGTTATTGGACTTTATTCTTAATAAACATACAGAGGACAAGACGGCGTCTCCGATAGTTACATTACACATGCGAGTTGCATACGTGAAATAGCGTGCATATGCATAGTTTAATGTCCGATGTGTGTATCTACACACACATGACGTAACAGCAACACGTTATATTCACGTACAATGTGAAGGCCATTCGACCAATTCGGTTAGTGTTTGTTACAAATCTGTTAAGTGTTGTTTAAGTTCAAGAAAGCGGCAACTTTGTACCGAACGTAATTCGAAGATTGTTCTCAAGGTCCTAAACTTGGCTGGAATTTGGGGCCGACAGCAAACTCAGATACAAGTACAGCCTAGGCTGATAAAAGTTCGTACAACTAAGCCACTTAGAAACTAAGCCAATGAGAAAAAAATCCACGTGTGAGCATTTACACAGAGCTGTGAGCACAATGTAGCTCACTTATCACTCGTGTCTTTATCCATTAGGCCCACTGGGTTGGCCATTGTGGCAGAGAAATGTTACACCCACCTACACTGCTTTGAATGCATGACCCACACTGTACTGCTTGGGGTCTGTTCTCCTCCATTGACAAGTCTGGATCCTTGATTCCCTGGCCAAACCGCTCCACCATGCCTATTTTTTTTTACCAGGTATGTGTGCTTCTTCCACGCACTGGTACCAGAACGTCGAACGTTCGGGTCGCTGGCCTGGAACGTTCCCTACGAGTTCAACGAGTCAGACTTGCGTATCAGCGCACGGCAGGTTCAGGTAATGCGGCGGGTTCGTAATGTGTGTATGTTGAACTTCTTTAGCACCGTACGCAGAAAACCATCCCAATCAGAGGTGCGGGGGAAGGACAACAAACTAAACAATGTACGCATGTTGAAGTTCTTTAGCACTGTAAATAGCCAAACGAGCCAATTGGAGGTGCGGGAGAAGGGCAAGAAATAAAACGATGTATACATGTGTGTATGTTGAGTTTCTTTCACACCGTACGTAGCCAACCGTGCTAATCGGAGGTGCGGGAGGACAACGAATTAAACACAAAAAGCAGCCTTAAGAGAAATGAGTTTGTCAATCTAGATGATGGCCGCAGAAGCGCATCTGAAAAGCGTGTGACGCGGTGACCACCGCCTTTGTTCGCTGGTTTGACAAAAGCCGCTGCCGCGAGGATGACCGGAGTTCGCGTGATGCTTTATGCTCCTTGAGATAAGCGAGGTGTTGTGGTTCATTGTGGCAGGCACTTTGTGTGTAATGAGTGGGGACCTTATAGGTGAAGTTGACTTACGGGCTGCTTAAACTTGTGGACGGTGAACTCTCCATTGGTGGGGTCGGGCTCACTGCCATCGCACAGGGCACTCATCAGAGCCACCAGTGACTTGGGCACAGACACCTGGAACACAGGGACACAACAACAATCACTCCTCATGCATAATCAATGCGACATCAACAGTGGGCCACAAGCATGTCCATTAAATCGCTTTACACACGAGCACTTCCAAAAGTTAGTCGACAAGAGGCGGACACAGTTATTTGCAATTAACTTCTATTCACATCAAAATAGCGTGATGTTGAATTTATTATTGTAAATATGCACTCATCAAAATGAGAATAACACTATCAAAGCGACAAAGAAGGGATTGACAGAAAATGAAGTAATAAGTTGTACTCAATCTCGGGAAAAGAATTTCGGGCCACCCCGTATATGTGAGTCACTGGCATTGTGGCAAGAGCACCCAACGCACCATCGGCAGCTGCTGAGGTCAAATCTTGTTTGTGGGTTGACTCAGCCCATTCCAATGCAGCCACGAACCCTGCCACACAATTGTGGAATTACCACCGCCAGCTCAAGATCACCCATGGAGCTGCATGCAACCCAATGCTCAGTTGAGGGTGGAGGCGTTTCATTTTTTGGATTGGCATACGTACGTGCATTAAATTCTGGCCTGTGTGAAATGACATTCAATCTATTTTCCATCCGTCTCTTCTCTTTCCATTCGCGCACACAAAGGTCAGACATGTGGTCGTTGCATCCCTCCGACAGGCCCCTTCATTGCCCCTATTTTTGTGTTGTTTTTGTTTTAGCAGGTAAGGCCCACTGAGCTATGTAGCTCTTTTTCCCCGAAGCGAACAGGCCACAAATCATAGCTCAACAAAGCGGCTTATCGCGTGGAAGTTTATAACTGCCAAATACTGTAAATGCTTGTTGATTATAAATGTGGAGGGAAAACTCTGAAAACTCGGAGAAAAACATCCACGCGACCACGGGGAGAACACGCAAGCTCCAAATATAGAGCAGCAGGCGCCAGGGTCGCGATTGTACCCACGACCTCCTGTATACCAGGTGAGGTAGTTAACATCTCTATAGAGAGAGAGACACGCAAGCTCCAAATATACAGCAGCAGGCGCCAGGGTCGGGATCGTACCCACGACCTCCTGTATACCAGGCGAGGTAGTTAACATCTCTATAGAGAGAGACACGCAAGCTCCAAATATACAGCAGGCGCCAGGGTCGGGATCAAACCCACGACCTCCTGTATACCAGGCAAGGTAGTTAACATCTCTATAGAGAGAGACATGCAAGCTCCAAATATACGGCAGGCGCCAGGGTCGGGATCAAACCCACGACCTCCTGTATAGCAGGCGAGGCAGTTAACATCTCTCAAACAGGCTCCATCTCATATTCGTTGGGCCTTTCGGTGAAGTCACGTAGATAGGTTCAAAGAAAATAACAAAAAATACCAAAAACTGCAACGTTTCGACCACAACACAAGCGATTGTCATCAGGAAGAAAAAAGAGAGGGGGAAACACTGTTGATTATAAATGTGGAGGGAAAACATCCACGCGACCACTTGTGTTGTGGCCGAAACGTCGTGAGAATTTTATTGTGTTATTTTATTTCATCAATTTTTTATTTTATTCTCATTCTACGTGACTTTACCGAAAGAACTAAAGAAGATGAATCCTTGCAGTCATGAAAGCTTTAAATAGAGATTAGCATGTTAATGTGAGAGATTAGCATGTTAATGTGAGAGATGAGCATGTTAATGTGAGAGGTTAGCATGTTAATGTGAGAGATGAGCATGTTAATGTGAGAGATTAGCATGTGAATGTGAGAGATTGGCAATTTAATGTGAGAGATGAGCATGTTAATGTGAGAGATTAGCATGTTAATGTGAGAGGTGGCTGTGTGAGTGTGGGACATTTAACCTGTTAATGTAAAATCAGAGAGCCGAAAATAACAACTCACGTCGGAAGGTGGTAGGATGGGAATATTATAGTTAGTTATGACTTAAACTGGTTGATAACGTCCTTCCAATGATTTCTCAGTTTGTACCCATCTTCTCGATTGAAGTTGTGTCTGTGTCTATATATGTGGATGGCTTCATGAACGAATCTTTGTTGATAGCCAGTGGGTTTGCAAAGTACCTTCGTCTTAGAGAAATCAATTTCGAGTGAGCCCATCGCATTAAAACAATGATCAGCCACGGCCGAGGTATTGGTCCTACCGTGTTTCAGATCTGCCTTGTGTGCACGAACACGGTTCCGAGACACGTCGCTTAGTTCCCACAATGTAACTGTAGTGACATCGTTGGATGTCACTACAGTTGGATGTCACTGTGTGAATCCGGGCTGGGAGAGCCACGGCGTGCGATGCACTAACATCGCGGACACCACGTATGTGTGGGTGCAGCACCGGCCCTAGCGGGGATCGGTGAGCACCCACTGACAGTGACGGATGGCACCACGCTCTGCGTGCAGTGCCGGCCCCTACAGGATAGGATGCGAGAGTGCCGAGCGCGGAATGGGGTTACAAGGGGCCATGGCGCTCTGGTTGACCCCGGAGGACACGTGGCCGGTTGCGGCTACACGGGAACCCCCAAAGAGGGGCTAGGGGTGATCACGTGTCCAGATCGAGATGCTGCTAGAGGATTCTAGAAGGTGGTCGTGGCGAGGGGCGGAGCGAGCCCCGCCACAGACGATATAAGCCGGGTCCCCCAGTGGGACCGGCTGCTGTGGTTCATCCTGAAGTCTCCACCTTCTAGGTCTACAGACTCCCCAACACGTGGACCCGGACCCGAGCTGGGGACCGGTCCGTTGTAGCTAGTTACGGTGTAATTAGTGTAGTTAGCCTGGTGGTTACGTAGCTAGTTACGGTGTAATTAGTGTAGTTAGCCTGGTGGTCACGTAGCTAGTTACGGTGTAATTAGTGTAGTTAGCCTGGTGGTCACGTAGATAGTTACGGTGTAACTAGTGTAGTTAGCCTGGTGGTTACGTAGCTAGTTACGGTGTAATTAGTGCAGTTAGCCAGGTGGTTACGTAGCTAGTTACGGTGTAATTAGTGTAGTTAGCCTGGTGGTTACGTAGCTAGTTACGGTGTAATTAGTGTAGTTAGCCTGGTGGTCACGTAGCTAGTTACAGTGTAACTAGTGTAGTTAGCCTGGTGGTTACGTAGCTAGTTACGGTGTAATTAGTGTAGTTAGCCTGGTGGTTATGTAGCTAGTTACGGTGTAATTAGTGTAGTTAGCCTGGTGGTCACGTAGCTAGTTACGGTGTAACTATTGTAGTTAGCCTGGTGGTCACGTAGCTAGTTACGGTGTAATTAGTGTAGTTAGCCTGGTGGTTACGTAGCTAGTTACGGTGTAATTAGTGTAGTTAGCCTGGTGGTCACGTAGCTAGTTACGGTGTAACTAGTGTAGTTAGCCTGGTGGTTACGTAGCTAGTTACGGTGTAATTAGTGTAGTTAGCCTGGTGGTTACATAGCTAGTTACGGTGTAATTAGTGTAGTTAGCCTGGTGGTCACGTAGCTAGTTACGGTGTAACTAGTGTAGTTAGCCTGGTGGTCACGTAGCTAGTTACGGTGTAATTAGTGCAGTTAGCCAGGTGGTTACGTAGCTAGTTACGGTGTAATTAGTGTAGTTAGCCTGGTGGTCACGTAGCTAGTTACGGTGTAACTAGTGTAGTTAGCCTGGTGGTCACGTAGCTAGTTACGGTGTAATTAGTGTAGTTAGTCTGGTGGTCACGTAGCTAGTTACGGTGTAACTAGTGTAGTTAGCCTGGTGGTCACGTAACTAGTTACGGTGTAACTAGTGTAGTTAGCCAGGTGGTCACGTAGCTAGTTACGGTGTAATTAGTGTAGTTAGCCTGGTGGTTACGTAGCTAGTTACAGTGTAATTAGTGTAGATAGCCCGGTGGTTACGTAGCTAGTTACGGTGTAATTAGTGTAGTTAGCCTGGTGGTCACGTAGCTAGTTACGGTGTGATTAGTGTAGTTAGCCTGGTGGTTACGTAGCTAGTTACGGTGTAATTAGTGTAGTTAGCCATAGGTTGTTTTCTGGTAAAGGGGCAGTTACCCCTTTGTGTTGGTGTGTTTGTGTTAATAAATGTGTTGCCTCCAAAGAGTACGTCTGCGAGTCAGTTTGAGCCCACTACATAACTTCTGCCGCAGACAGCTTAGTTTGCAGACGCCGGGGTATTGCATGTCAGGGATCACATCCTTCACAGATGGGATCAGATCACGAATTTTACGTACTGTGTTAAATCGAACCTGATCTTGTGTTTGCTCATGATTTTGGAGCTATTTTTGGTGACCCCTGCTTTGTATGGCAAGGTGATGGTTTTGATTGGGTCCTCAGATGGTTCTTTCCCAACAGTTGGGGTGATAGCTTTACGGATTGTGTCGTCTGAATATCCATTCATCTTGAGAGCGTGGTGTACGTGTTTCAGTTCATTGGCTAGGTGATGATGGTCGGAAATACATCGAGCTCTATGGTGCAGCATCTCAGGGTAATGAGCTCACTCCTATTTAATCTCCAAATGCACTTAAATCGCACTTAAATCGCTCGGTACAGCTGGCGTTTTCATTTACATGGTCGCGGATGGCGCATACCATTATGGGTAAAACATTTTGCTGGGTTTTGAGATCCTTACAAAAAGATATCCGATTGCCCCTGCATAACTCAATGGCTCTGCGATGGGGAAGAGTTGAATTAATTGATGCGCCGGTATCAGCGCTCCGAAACCCAAAGTTTAGTTTGGCAGTTGTCTCTTGTGTGAACATGAGCACGTGAGTGGCTATTTAAGGTCGTGACTCTGCTTACAGAATGATTTACTTAAACGCCGTAATTTGGGTATAAATAGAGCACGGGTTCCATTCGGCCCGGCCAAGGCTTAGGGGCAGCAGTAGGCCCAGTAATGCCGTCCGCGCACGCAGCAGTCAACTGCTGTCAGGTAGCTTAGGCACGCTAGTAGCACGGTTTATACGGTTTACAGTGGCGTAAAAGCCCACTTAAGGCTTACACAAACAAGCATATAAATAAACATTGAGGGCTGCGTGTAGGCGGTTGGAAAAGGGACACTCGGATGAATGCACAGAGGCAGGTATCGGCACGCAAACAAATTGACGGTAAACCGATTGAATGTTCATCCATGTCAATAAACGGGGAGTTACGGAATCTTAAATGCGCATTACTTAACAAGCTAAGCCTTTACCCTAAACATGATTGGTCATTGTTATGGCACCGAAACAAACTTATTAGAGCAAAAACAAAATAGCCTTTAAAACATTTTAATCCAATTCCTTACAACTTCAGAATTAGAGGTGACATTTGAGGTGGCTAGGGGGACGGGGGGGTGGAGGGGAGGCTAATGTCTGGGTCAGAGAATTTAAATCGGCACCACTAATATCTTGGGTTCGAAGATAGGCAGCCACACAAAGTGAGCGTTTCTAGCCTCGGCTCAGTCATCAAAGGCTACACGATAAACTCGCAGAGTTTATAGCTAGGAGCAGATAACATTTTTCCATTTATGAAAGTGCAATTAATTATGAGGACGCTCCGGTGGTGTAGTGGTGAGCACACTGGACTTGCAATCCACAGGTTGTCGGTTCGATTTCTTGGCACGGCAGTTGAAAACAAATGGCACAAGTTTCTCAAATCCCTCCGCATCTGTCCACCCAGCAATGTCAATGGGTATCATGACAGTTAATCTATTGGCGAGTCACGTGTGGTGGGATCAAGTGTGGGTACTCCCACCTATTCCAAAATATCTGGCCAGCTTGGAAGAGTAGGCCAACAATACCCTATAGAGGGGCTGTCTAGAGCTCCCTTCATTGGAGGCCCTTCAACTAGTATAGGTGAGAGCATGCAGACGCGGGGCTGCACTTTTATTTTTACCAAGAAAAAATGCTTAATAATTCACCGTGTCTTAAATGTTACGTGAGAACAAATTGACATGTGGCTATGATTTTTTTTTCCTTTAAAAAAAAGAGCCGGATAAACAGAGCGAGATGGCACCACCTCGAACACCGCACGTTTATTTTCTCGAAAACGTTTAAACTACCGGGCGGCAGTAAACACCGCCTGCACAGCCTGCATCAGGGTCAATACCGCAGAAGTCACGGTGGCCGGTCACACAAGTGCAGATCATGCCCGACAAAGATTCACGGTTTGATCCACGTGCCTCGTTTCCTTTGACTCCCACGTCAAAAGGTGGGGGCTGGCAAAGGTCTTGTCACGGGCTCCATCTGATTGGCCACCCACAGTCACGCGTCTGGTCACATGATAATAACGACTCGCTGTGATTGGTCACCGACGCTTTTTAATTGCTACTCAATGGGCACCGGTCAGGAAGCCAACATCCCCCCTGATGAAGACTGCAGCTCAGCGGTTCAAAGGTGGAGATGAAGCATTTTAATGTTTCAGGCTGAACCTTCCACTTCTGTTTGTGCTCAACAGCCAATATTTTGGCATGCGAGAATACATAAAGTATTCCTCCGAATCATGTTCTGAAACCATATTACTCAAATAAGAGTATTTATTTGAGCAAACTCATCAAAGGCATTTCAGGAAGCGCACCTTCTAGCGAAGAGAACGACAGTGATGTGACTCCAGAACTCGTTCCGTAGTGTCATCTTCCCGGGAGTTCCAGAAGAATGTTTCTTAACCTTATGCTATGACTCCAAGAGCACATTGGAATGCCTAAAAGAAAAGTCTATTTCTGAGATATACCAATTGTGTTAGAACACAAGTCCAACTCTCCATGCCAAAATATTGTTTCCATTCTCTAAGTTTATGGGACTTGCAGATAATGTTTATCAGCAGCATTTGTTTAAGCAGGCAAACTCAGAACCTGTTTTGACTTTCTGAGCCTCATCAGAAGTCAGTCCCTGAAACAAACGCTGCTGCTCTGTGCCAGGTGTTATCTGCGACAACAATTAAATCAGCCAAATATAGTAAACCCATAAACCTGCTGAACACAACTCTTGTTTATAACGGGCGTTAGAGGCGTAACTCTGAATTCAGTTCATTGTTTTATAATTTAACAGTCCAGTGAGAATAATTTACTTATGCAAATGGCGACCTGGCTGACTGATTATGGTTGCGCCATCACAGCCAATATTTTTTTAGTAATTCAACTGCAATAAAAATACTGAAATATAACAGCTTAAAGTGTTAAGATTCGAAATTCTCATCGCGATGCGAAAAAATAAAAAACTACGCGAGAAATATTTGCGCTCGAAAAAAAAAGGTAATCCATCGTGCATTATTTAACCCGTAGACTGTGCAGTGTCAGTGTAAAAGTTCACAACTGGTCTCACAGAGGGGGCCTTAGTGGTGGTGCTGGTTGTGGTGCTGGTTGTGGTGCTGCTTGCGAGTGCACTGCGGTGCATTTCACTCGGGCACCGCTGCGTCGTTACCTTGGCATCGTAGGTGAACTTTAGCGACGGGGTGTCCTGGCAAGGGACCATGCTCCGGCAGTGAATTGCCTGCAGAGACAGAATGGCGGTTTGCGTGGGTATTGCAGCTGTCGACACTCGATACACATTCACGTGGCAATTCCTCCGGGGCCTCCGGTTTTACCCTCCACTTTGAGAAACGTGCGTTTAGAGTATTTGGCTGCTATACATTTCTACGTGATAAGCCACTTCGTTGGGATATCATTTGTGGCCAAGTCGCTCCTGAAAAAGAGCTACTCTGTATGTAGCTCAGTGGGTCTTATCTGGTAAAATAAAAATAAACTTTAGTTTTAAAAGTTTAGTTAACATTATAGCTTCTAAAGATCTTGTTTTCTTTTTGAGAAGGGTCCCGTCCATGTCAGTGGCTCTTCAAGTCAAGCACCTTCCCAGGCAGGGATCTGCCATCGCATTTTGTATTTAAATACAAACGTTAAAAGCTCAACGGGGGTAGGGCTGTTCTAGTGCTTGGTGTGCAGCCCCATGAATCCTACTGGCCATCTGTGAAAAAGAGCTTCATAGCTCATCGGATTTCTCCAGGGATAAATAAAGATTCTGAATCCCGCAATTTGAGTTCAACTCTCAGCCGCAGCTAACATCAGCGGTGAGCAATATCTGAACGGGTCCTGGGGTCCCCTTTTAGGTGTAGCCACGAACGTAATTAACCACTTGACAAAAGCACCGCTGTGTAGCTGACAAAGAGCCAAGGTGGCCGAATGAGATGTCACGGCAAACATTGACCTTGAACAAATACATTTATATTTTGATACAACGAGAATCAATACATTGCTGGAAGAAGACACCCCCCTTGGCCATGTGAGTCATAGGGGTTTGCTTTAACCATTGCGTACCGTGCTGGTAAGCGTGGTAAAGGGTGGAGGGTAGGGGGTGGGGCGGTGGTTCCGGGAATGGTCCAGAAAACACTCGACCACTGATGTTAGCCGTGTCCAAAAAAAATCGAGTTTAGTGTTCGTAGCATAGTGCGAAAATCATTGCGGAAACTGCTCCACACCTTGTATATAATACGCCCGAGTGATTGAATGAACCGACTGAATGGGAGTATTTTTTCAGTGAGAGATCGCTGTACTCACAAAACATTTCTTAACAACGACGTCTCACTTGATGTACCTCCTGAAATGGCCTTTCACAGCCGCAAACGTGTTAATGTGACCGCTTGGCCACGTTAAACTTTAACGCGGTGTTACGTAAGTTGACAGAACATTAAATGAGCAGTAACTCGGAAGATACAATCATTGACGATTCTACCGGTCAAAACTGGACGGCCACAGGTGGGTTCACTCGCCAATGGGCCAGGTTGCAAGGAGTCGACAGTTTGGAATGACTACGGCAAGCTAAACCATCTACAGCTAGATGTTAAAGCTCCTGAGTAACATTAATGATAATTGCTCTTCTTTGGTTCTTTCGGTAAAGTCACGTAGAATGAGTCACGAAAGCTTTAAATCGAAATGATAATTGCGCGTATTAGTGTCATAGTCCCATAGCCCATCATGATCAGCAATGGTCAATCCACTACAAAATTATAAGCCTTGATCCTGTAATATAATAATTCCCACCTGCAGGTATATCGAACTTCTATTGCACCGTACACAGCCAACCGTGCTCATCCACGGAAAGACAACAAACTAAACACCAAAAAAGTTTAAAAGAAATGAGTCTCTACACGATTGCATCGAGAGAGAGAAAGGTGAGATGAAGCGATGAGAGATAAAGTGATGGATGACATTAAGCGATGAGAGATAAAGTGATGGATGACATTAAGCGATGAGACATAAAGTGATGAGAGTGACGAGATCAAAAGATGAGATAATGTTCATGTACTTAATAGCCTCGAGGTTTTTGTGGACCAATTTCATTATCCGCGAAATTTGCCAATCACGACCATCGCCGGAAAGTATCCCTCGCGAATAATGAGGCATCCACTTATACACTTTGCATAAAATGTTGCTCGTCAATGTTCCCATGCACGTTGCGCCGCGTGTATCGCGAGCACTACAATCGATGTGAACCATTGAATCGAAGAACCGGTGAGACGGACGTCGCTCGGAACCCCCCACGGGGACTCTACCCACACAACCCTGTTCCGCCGTCTCCTTCCCGTAACTCCACCACCGCCACCACGTCCCCCACGCTCCAAACCCGTTGGCTCTCCAGAGCTCGTTGCCGCTAGAGTGACAAAACGCTGCGCGCGAGCTTCTTGAGGGTCGAAGAACCGGTGAGACGGACGTCGCTCGGAACCCCCCACGGGGACTCTACCCACACAACCCTGTTCCGCCGTCTCCTTCCCGTAACTCCACCACCGCCACCACGTCCCCCACGCTCCAAACCCGTTGGCTCTCCAGAGCTCGTTGCCGCTAGAGTGACAAAACGCTGCGCGCGAGCTTCTTGAGGGTCGACGTTTCACACGTCGGAGCGGTACCCGGCCCTTGACATCTTCTTCCGCGTCAATACACCACCGCCATCTTCTTCACTGTGGCCGTTAGAGAGATCCCGTGACGGTCCCGGCGGACAGCAGGTCATGCGTGCGTGCTGGCGTCGCGGCCCAAATGTGCCAGCTACAAAATGGTCGCTCGCAAGTTCGCTGCTTGGGTAAAATCGGGCAGCAGTATCGCACCCTAATGGCAAACTACAGTCGTCTCTGAAACACCGAGCTTTTGTGATCAGCTTGTGCTCTAAGAATCGCACAATTGCCAAATGTACTTACATCTTGTTATTATTATTATTATTGTGGCTAATGACATTAAAGGAAGCATAGGGAGTATGGAGAGTAGTGTGGGGAAGGTGAGGGCACAACTGATCAGAAACCATCTTGAATGGTTCACAGCCAAGATGCCACAGCGAGGCACTGGGAAGTGGAAATTTCACTCGTCCACTTGGCCAGTGCTGGAAATTCCACATTTCTATGGTGGGGGCTGCTCTATCTAGGAGACAACCAATACAGAGTTCCCACAACGTGGTATTCATTTGGTCGATTCTGGAGAGAAATTATAGACCCGAGTTAATCTGCAACCAAATGTGTAAAAACTGTAACTTGGGGGATATCAGATGACGTTAATGTGTTGGTGGTTTTTGATTAAAGCTTTGCTGATGATGCAAGCAAAAGTATCTCGTTTGCCCATGCGCTGCATCATTTTACCAATTCGCTGCGCTTGGAGTGGAAACAAATGGCGCGCGGTGTCAAACGAAATTTTGGCGCAGCCGCCAGCCGAAAGCCAAACAGGGGAAAGAATGAAATAAACGGGGCGCTCAATTAACAATCGCAGCTTCGCCCGTCCTCGCACGGCGAGGCCAGACGGCAGCCGAGAGACAATGCCAGCATTGTTGCGGTCGCGACATTGGCACGAACGTTATTGATGTTGTAACTCCACACAAGGGCTGAGGGGCTGCCTGTTGGACCACACTTCCAAATATCTGTCTTTACCGCCCTGATATCTCAATCGACCTCTTATTCACGGGAGTCAGAAGCTCACTGGCGGTTACAGACTACCAATTTAAATCGACGCACATACGGGTGTTCATGGCTTGCGAATTAAAGGGTCATCTTTTGACCAAATGCCTGCGAATGAGTAAAGGCGTTAAGCGTATACCCATTCAGCACAGCGGTGCAAATGCAGTTAAACTATGGGCAAATACAGCACTGGGTGGGGATGGTTAACTTCTCGGGGCAGATAATGTGACTGTCGGATATGTGGCTGGTGGAAATCTGACTGGCGGATATGTGACATCGTACTGTACTCAAAAAATCAATGAGCGGTGCTCATCTTCTCTGACGGCACTAATTCCATTGGTGGACATTCAACATTCCTCTGGCTGGGACCAGTCTGTCCAAAGCATGAGCACTGTTGGCATCTTCCGGTGCGGTGGCGAATCGACCCGCCAGGGACGATGGGCAGAGTTGGCCCAGGACCGGGGTGCGAACTCAGAACCTTTCAGCGAGCGAGCCACTCTGCCGTTGGGCCCCGCGGCCCGATCACAATCTATTGTAAAAGTTCGGCGTTCCGTTTGTCCGTTATTTGTCCGTCAACTCAATTACAAGAGCCTTTCATAAGGCCTGAATCAAAAAGTTATAGAAAGTGGATGCCCCCAGTGGGGGTAAAAAGTTGATCTGACAGGTTTACAACAATTGTCAACCGCCCCCCCCCCCCCCAAAAAATGTATTTTGTAGCCTTATATGCTTACACACCCTACATGCAATAAAGTCAGTAGTATCATCTGCATACATTGGGAGAGGGGGAAGAGGACATCGATGGGGGCGACGGGCGAGGCGCTAAGCACTGAGAAGCCCTTCATAGGAGCTTAGAATAAGGCGGGCCGTAGTTTCGCCTTATTCCAGCTCCTGTAAAAATGTTGAAAGTTAAACTGTTGCTTGAGCTCAACACAATCTGAAAATGTGACCTCTCCAACTGAAGAGTCCGTTCAAATGTTTGAACGTCCTCTTTTCATTTTCACCGTTTGCAACGTAACCATACTGAGCAGTTTCGATGACAACGATGGCAAATTCCTCTACGGCTGAAGCGAGCCGGCTCGTGCAGCGGTTGAGGAATCCGGAGAAACTTGGTGAGGAAGTGAAACGGCGTCTTGCCTTTGTGTTTAGGAATTACCGCTTTAAACGAACGCAGTTGTGTGCATTCTCTCGCTCCGACAACAGCGTACACGGTCACACGGGCAACGGATCAGCTGGCCCCCCCGTAAAAAAAAAAAAATCCCATTAGCATTGCACACAGGCCATTTAGAGTGCACACATTGCGAGCCCTGACTGTGGGTCGCCACTATGGGAGGCTCCCGGGTTAGTGCGTAACTTAACGCCGGGAGTCGGTCAAAAAAGTTCCCGACTTTTTTTTTTTTTCCCCGCGGCCTGAATAATGCGGCTGGCGGCAGCACATTTCGTGAACTTGGCTGCGATCTCGGCAGCGCCGGGGTCCGCTATTCATAGATCGCTAGGTCGCTCACGTGTCTCCACGGCATCAGCACGCTCATGGCCGGCGCTGCATTGGCGGAGCAAAAAAACCCGCACG